CCCACCTCCATGACCGACTTTACCTCTGACTCCAGGCGCAGCGCGTTTTAGCGATGTGCCGGAACAAGTAACAACTGCAAGCCTGTGCTGTTACAATAAAAAAGTTCGATAGTTCATTTAGGGTCTGGAGGGAACCGGCCGGGACGACCGAACCGACCCACCCTGTTCCTGTTAGACGCATGTGCTGCATTTGCGAACGGCGTTTCCTGCTTTGGTAATCGTGTGCCTCCCTCATGGGTATCAACCCATTGTGAATCAATCATCAGCCATATGACCAAAGCGGGCAGTGACGTCTGGCGGGCACCACTTGGCGACGCACATAATGAACGGGTGCAAAAACTGACTGATATATAAAAAAAAATCGCTAAAAACGTGTCGGGGTGAACATTGGCGCAGCGTCGCAGGTGGTGACTGACTGACCCCAACTGAGCCAGGAATGACACTTGGCCCGAATCTCGGCATCGCCAGCAGCGCGGCCATGAGAGGTAATGAGGTCCGACATGCCATGGTAACAATAGGATTATTTAAATTGTATTCTGATTCTGGTGAACATTTTTTCCGTCAACGTGCAAATTGCAATATATTGTGTACCTAAGTCAAAAACGTGATTTTCGCTCAGGGTATAACATGTTTCCTGCCTTCTGGGATCCGATCCGAGATAGTGCCTCTATTTCAGTACCCAGTCCCATGTGGTGCCGCTTGATAACCTCTGTCAATCAGCGCCTCTCCTGCAAAAGAAAAGCTGATAAGCAGATGACATTTTGTTCTTAACTATTGTGTGTGGAGGGCGGGGAGAGGGCGGATGCAATTGGTTTTAAGTGCAATGATTTATTGCAAATGCACTCCAAGTAAAGTGTTAGGCACAGGTATTGCTTTATGGAATCATAACGCCATAATCGGTCCCACCGACTTACCTCATTAGATTGTAACTCTTATTCTGAATAGCGTACTTAGCCGTTTATCCTTCTGCAAAGAGCTGAGATATGTAGGTAATAGACTAAATGTTGTTTGAACACGAGTCATTAGTAAGTCTGAGAAGTAAACTAGCTCTGGGTGGTGAATCGTGAGCGCCGGATCACCGACAAGCTACTCAGAAACAGACAGTCCGCCATGCAGTCCCGGAACAACGTTTTGTTCTTGTACCATGGAACTGTTCTAAATTCTTATCGAGTGTGCTTATAAATACTTACTTTCGGGTGGGAGAAGGGGGAGGGTGCACGGTGTGCGTGCGACGCTCTGTGACGCTGTGCGGGTGCTATGCCTGAACCCTGTTTGCGATATAGAGTGACTCACCCCGTATGTCACGGGGCAGGGAGAGGGGAGGGGTCCCGGCCCGAGGCCTAGGAAGGGTGCGTGCAAACTGCAAACACCGACCTGTTGCATAATGGGTCTGCAATCGGTAGATAGCACACTCACCGTCGTTTGAAGTTTTTGTTGTAAAACGATCCCGCGGCGGTAATTATTGGAGGTGAGTGTGCTTGATAAACTAAACTTTACGTACGGATGTCTATGCTTGAAAATGTTTATCTAAAGAATACTTCCACTTCGTCGTTCAAACTTGAACTAAACTATCTACTTAAAACATGCTTTTGTCTGCGGCCCGTGCTTTGTTCCGAGCACTCTAACATGATGAACAAAAAGTCTGCAAATGAAAATAAAATGATTCTGATACATGCTTGTATAGGCAGCAGTTTAATCAACTGAACTAAAGATCTCCGTTCAATAACCATACTCTGACGTGAACTTAACTATCAATTACCTTAGTAGGTACATTCGTCCTGTCGGTTTTGACGTATCGAGGCAATATCAAGGCTCGGCACACCAGCTGCAGCATAAGAGAGCTGCAGAGCCCACGGTGCAGCCGATTTCAGCAAGCACGAAGTACCTACGAACCCCATGTTGTTCCCATTTTCATGACCGCATCAGCCTATAAGCTGGCTTTCAGCATGTCATAACCGAACCCCACCATGATGTCACTGGCTTTTGTGCTTTGTTCGAGACACTAAGTATCTGCTTGTCCCTCAGCGATTGGTGATTTTTTTTCGGCAGTTGGGGCGATCGTTGCAGTCTATGCAATCTATGTGAGATCTGTTGTGGTGAAAGCCTTTAATGATGCATTGAGGTTAAGACTTTTAAGAATGGTTTGCTGATTGGGAGGTACGTCAATTTTGGCATTTTCCCATTGTGCCTCGTGACTCCAATTTTTTAGCTTGTACCTAACTACTACGGTTTTATGGAAAGGTAAGATAAGTAGGTATCGGACAATGACCATTGGTATCTTTGCCTATTGGAAAGGTGATATGATGAAAGCAGCATGCATAGTATAGGCAATTACCAAAGATGGCAATACTCTCGTCCTTCGTCCTTCTGTGTTCTCTCTCTCTCTCTCTCTCTCTCTCTCTCTCTCTCTCTCTCTCTCTCTCTCTCTCTCTCTCTCTCTCTCTCTCTCTCTCTCTCTCTCTCTCTCTCTCTCTCTCTCTCTCTCTCTCTCTCTCTCTCCCTCTCTTTCCCTTCCTCTCCTCTCGCTCTCTCATTCTTTTCTGCAGATCAACTCCTGCACGAGTGCGTGTTGCTAGGCAAAAGCAAAGCCCGACTGCTGACGTCACAGAGCGTATCGCATTCAATTGACTACACACTCAGACGTTATCGAATAAGCCGATAGCACGAGTGTCACCCCTCGGTGACTGTGGGCGGATGTGACGTCACGGTGGTCAGACCGAGCCAGAGGCGCAGGCTGGGTCAAACTCTGCCCGCTGCCGTTTGACCCGGCGCGAGTCTGACGTCACCGCTGACCCGCCGGCTGCCGGTGCCGCGCCGAGGTGACCTGTGGAGTGTGACGTCACCTGACGTTTCAGTGACGTCATCGGTGGCCTGACCGGTTTCCATGCGCTGCAGCTCCCGTCCGCGGACAAAACAATGGCGGCCCGCTCCGCGACCGCTGTCGACCTGACGGCCGCCGCCGCCGCTGAGACGGTGCTGGGCCGGCTCCGCGGCACAGCACCCCTCTGATCCACCTGATGGAGCCGCGGCTGACCTTACCGATTTCTGGAAGTGTTTGTCGGCAGGCGGGTCGGGCCGTGCCGGATTGGGAGCCGAACTCGGCAGCCGGCAGAGCGAGCAGTCACGATCGGCTTCGGCTCGGCTCGTGACCGTCACATGCCGCCGGTGACGTGCGGTCCGTCACAGCCTCACTTCCGGCACCGGCCTGAGGGTGTTGTTAGATCCGGTGGTAACACATCGGGCGTCACGCCATCCATTATTACATAACGTACCGCCTCTCATGAGGGCTTATTGAATTTTGCTGCCGCCTTTGCTACCCGGAGAATATTTCATTAGGTTTGATGATGATCTTTTCTATCGAATTTGATGCAAATCTCGTTAGTTACGCGATGAGTGAAGCACTCGACAGCAGCCTTTGTAAAACATGAAGCAAAGTAAGGCACTTTGAGTAGGTAAGCTGCAACGTCTGATCTACTGACGTGAAATCATGCCGCTCAATTTCACTAAAAGTTGGTTGCTACCGCTCTGAGTTCTGACTTTTTTATACCTGTTGCTTGGTTCGCTGCAGCGCGGCGTCGCCGAGTGATGTGTAATGCACAGTGCACACTGTACAGCTGTGCCGGTGGCTGGTGTGTCATTCCGCTGAGCTGGGTATATGATGGTCGTTATACCGTGGGACCGCGGTGAGTCACAGCCCAGTGCTCTCGGTGTGTTCTGATGCACCGTCCCACCGTGTTCGGCATGTCGGCAGGGACTGTAGCCCGGTAAATGTCAGCCGACTGCCGCCCCCACCGGCCACTGCGGCCTGCTGAAGAGGTGGGCGCCCACGGCTCGCTGACTTTTACCAGTCGTTTTTCCAGCTGCGGGCCTGTCAGCGATACCCGTCAATGGCGGCGACGCCGGCTGGAAAGGTCACGCTGCGGCTGCAGCTGTGGTCCAACACGCCACCCGGCGGGGATTACTCGGCCCATTTTTACCCGGTGAGAGCTCCCGATGCCCCACTATTGTGCCGGCCGAGGCTCAGTAGCCTGAACGGTGTCCTTGAGGAGTCAGCAGGCTTCAAAACAGATCGACTGGCTGACGTCAACACTGATGCGGATTGTCACAAATCACGTGCCACAGGGTACTGAGCATAATGGTGGCATGATTTTAATGGTCTGTCATTCTTCTAGCATTCGTAACTAAAATCTGACATTCATCACGGCTTACATGATGCAGAAAATGCCTGCCATACGGCAGGGGCAAGATTCAGCCTAAGATTTCCCCACACTGCTGCAGTGCTAACTATTGTCGAGTGTCACGATGATAAGCACTTTGGAGAGTCTTTCTGTCATCAAGCCATAAATATTGCACCGCCTCAGTCGCGACATAAACATCTCCCAGTCAGCCGGGCGTTGTGATAGCGCTGACGAGTCACAGACGGCCTCACGGGGACGCTGTGTTTGTGCTCCGCCGGCGGTACGGACGGGGCCGCCTCTATTTCCCCCACATCACCCGGTGTTTTATATAAACCGGGACATGTCCGTTTTTTGTGTTCTAGCTGCTTTGACAACCAGCTGGCTCCGCCCGAATGGAGTGCTGAATGTCCGGGATATTCAGTGTTCTGTGTTCACGTCCAGAGCTGTTGGATGTAGAGTTTGGCCTATGCCGCTGTGCGTAAGGCGATGTCCGTGCCTAGGGGCGTGCATTATTCGCCGGAGATACCTTGTCCGCTGTCCGATTCCTGTCAACTGCTCGCCTGTGTAGTGTATGTAGGCATTTACTATCTTCGTTTACTCCTCTGTCAGTCCTTCTGCCCTCCCTTTGTCCTGTGCATAGTTTCTACTTCAAGCTGCTACCCTGTCCGCTTTTCATGACACCTGACTGTCCTGTCCTGTCCTGTCCGGCAGCGGCTGATGGTGTCCGCCGGACTCGGTCGTGTCCGGCCGTGTCCGGAGGTCCGTTCGATACGGGCCGGAGCGCGCGCAGCCGCCGCCGCTGTCCGGTCAGCTGGCGCCGCCGGCCCGGCGGCGGGGCGGGGCGGCCGACGGGCGGCGCTCGGGCGCGGGCGGCCGCGGCGGCCGGCGCAGTCTCGCCTGTGGCGGCCGAGGGGCAGCAGTGTCGGTGGCGCGCGCTGCACCATGCTCGTGGATCCGGAGGTGTCGCCGTGCGCCGGCTCCCTGGCCGAGTCGGCGGACACTGATGTGGCCGGCACGCTGGCAGAAGAGCCGGCCAACGGACGACTTCAGTTCGACGTGAGTAGAGGGACGGGGGTGGGCCATAGTGGGCTGGTCCTTTGTTCTGGGACCTGGGTGACTTGAGAATCAGGAGCTGTCAGTGGCGGGCGGTGTTGGGGACTATGTCTCTGTCCCATGGTTTTACACCGTCGTACCGGTGCTGGGCGTGCATGATTGAAACGTCTCTAGTTTGTGTTGTCGTAGAACTGTGCTCCAACGGATACTGACGTTTTCCTTTGTCTTCATGCCCAAGTTGTCAATGAACTTTGTGATCGTCCTGAACGTTTCGTGAACGCAATGCTGGTTGCATGTGTGGATAAAATTGGCACTCTGATGGTGTTCTCAAATGTCGAAATGCTGTAAAATTAGGGGTGATTTACACCGCGTTTCGTGAGATATGCACAATTACGTGTTGCAACGCATGACAGCCGGCGCTGTTGCAGCGGCCCGGGTGCAGACGGCTATGGGTTTGATCATTCGATAGAGCTCAGTTTAGTAGCCAGTGTTTGTCACCTGAGGGCCATTTTGAACAACCAATCGTCCGTAGTCCTCCACGACGTGTTCCAACCTGTTTGACCCCGTTGAACGGTCATCGGTCATGAACGGTCCTTAGGGTCACGATTGGCCGAAATGTGGATTATTGAGCGACGAAGATCTCTATTCCGATCTTGAAAGCGTCTTATGGTATGTGTTACGGCTATATAAGCGGACTATGAATTTTGCCACTTTGGTGAAAATATTTTGCCCGTATCAAAATTGGTCAGTGCTTCGCAGTTGGGGTCGTATTGCCAATTGGTCAAAGGGAAAAGGAAGTAAAACTCGTTTTCAGTCAATCGTGTAATTATTATTTTGTCACATTTATTTTGGTTTCTAGAAAAAAACTGAAATGATTTCGTCACTCCGTCACGTTGACTTATTTTGCTATGATATACCATCGGGCATAATGATGACCATTTCATAACTCCGGGGTACCTCATTATGTTACATCACCTAAGTCCAGTTGATTGTGTCAACAAACACTCCGAAAAGTTCGCCTCCTTGCACCCCCTGGACCTCTTCTCTTGCATTTCATTTCTCAAGGAGCATCCTGCCATTACAATTAGCGAGCCCACCTCTGGCCATTGGCTGATGTTATGGACCCATCTCATCTGGGTCCCGATCCTGCGGCGCCGCAGCTGCCATGGTCGATGTCTTCTCAGCCTCCCGGCGGCCGGCCCCCCGTGACCCAAATATCGGTCGGCGAACCCGCCTGTCGTGACCTTGGTGTAGCATGATGGACACAATAAGGAATGTGAGTAGCGTATGAGTCAGGCGCGCGGCGAGACTGAGCTGCGGGACGTGACCCGGTGACCCAGTGTGAGTCATCCGCCGCCGCCGCCGGACGTCGGGGCGGCCGGGTTACGCCCCCTGATCAGTTGCACTGGGGATGACGTATGACAATGTGATTGGCTAATGATGATGCGCGATGACGTGTGCGTGAGAGCTATGGTCTGGTTGGGAGTGTGATTGCTGGGCAGTTGGCTGAGAGGCTCGGAGGAGAGCGGAATATAGTTTTCTTGGTTACGTGGAAGCAGGAGTTCTAAATCGCTTCAAGCTATTTCGGCCATTCTCAGAACAATCAGTGCTTGTGACAATGTCTGACGTGGAAGAGGAGAGTGGTGCCGCGGTGGTCGATACCAATGCGGCGGAACCCGAACTTCCTGCACCTGCTTTCGATCTGCGGGCAATACCAGAGTTCGACGGTACCGGTGACGTCGTCAAATGGCTGGAGCAGGCGAAACAGCTGTGCGCCCTGAGACGCGTTTCCCTGGCCGCTGTTTTGCCGACGCGCCTGCGGGACCAGGCGTACGAAGTTTGGGCCAGCCTCTCCGAGACCGAGCAACGAGACGCTGAGATCGTCCGTGACAAGCTGCACAGCGCCTTTGCCATGGGACCGGACGCCGCAATGTCAGAGCTATATCGTCGACGTCTGGAGCCGGGTGAGTCTGTTGATGCTTACCTGGGCTCCATCAAACGTCTGATGTCTCTAATCGGCTATGTGTCCAGCACGGTCATGACGGCTCATTTCCTACAAGGCCTGCCAGCGGAAGTGCGGCTGACGGTACGAAACAGCGTTGGAGATGGCACGCTCACCCTGGAGCGAGCGGTCGCCATCGCCCGGTCGACGTTGGCGATAACTGCCAGGGAGAGAGCGGCTGCACCGGTGGCTGCCGTCCAACTGCCGCCACCATCGGTACAGCAACAGCGGGCGACCAGAGGAACTGCTCGCCGGCCACCGTTGCGGTGCTGGACCTGTGGCCAGATGGGCCACATCGCCCGGCTCTGCCCAAACGGACGTGGCGACGGCGCTACATCAGCGCCACGGGCTCCGCCGTCGCCAGCCGCCGCAACAGCCCGGGAACGCCCATCATCGCCATCACCGTGAATGGGCACAGGTGCCGAGCACTGGTCGACACGGGATGTAGTGAGACAGTGGTGTGGAAGGGCGTGGTGTCCCAATGGGAGCAGAGTGACACCAGTTTGGTGGCTGTCAACGACAGCCCAGTTCGGTGTTGTGGGCAGGCTGCGGTGAGCCTGGGTGTGCGCGGAACGACAGTGAATGTGCGGGCGGTCGTCGTACCGGCCCGGTTGTTAGGCGTGGACGTGTTGCTAGGTATGACAGGCATCGACGCTCTGCGTGGCGTAAGTGTGAGTGGGGGGTCTGTTCGCTTCGGGAGCGAAGACCCGGCTGCTACGGAGCAGCGTGAGGCCCCGCCGGAGCGGGAGGTGTGCCGAGCGGTCGGCACGGCTGCAGGCGTGCAGCGTGAGGCCCCGCCGGAGCGGGAGGTGTGCCGAGCGGTCGGCACGGCTGTGGGCGTGCAGCGTGAGGCTCCGCCGGAGCGGGAGGTGTGCCGAGCGGTCGGCACGGCTGCGGGCGTGCAGCGTGAGGCCCCGCCGGAGCGGGAGGCGTGCCGAGCGGTCGGCACGGCTGCGGGCGTGCAGCGTGAGGCGCCACCGGAGCGGGAGGCGTGCCGAGCGGTCGACATGGGGCCAGAGTTGAGGATCAACGAGACCGACTTCACGGCAGTGTTCGATGCCGGGGTGTGGACGGTTCGCTGGAAGTGGGCGGGCGGTGTGGACCCGCCACCGCTTCGCAACTCCACGGCTCAGTACGGCATACCGAGGGGTGCGCGAGAGAAATTCGATGCCGAGCTGTCATTGTGGATAAGTGAGGGCTGGCTACGTGAATATGACGAGACGGTGTGCGGTCCGGCACAGGGACTGCTCCCGTTAATGGCGGTAACTCAGGCGGCAAAGAACAAGGTGCGGCCGGTGCTTGATTATCGAGAGCTTAATCAACACCTGACGCCTCACACGGCTGACGCGGACGTCTGCGTGGAGGAGCTTCGACGATGGCGACGCCACGGCCGCCGGGTCGCGGTCCTCGACCTGAAGAAAGCTTTTCTTCAGCTCCGTGTGGACCCGGCCCTGTGGCCGTACCAGACGGTCATCGTGCGGGGGCGACGATACTGCCTCACGAGGGTCGGCTTTGGGCTTTCCATAGCGCCTCTGATCATGAAGTCGGTGGTCAGGGAGGTGCTCGCGCAGAACCCGAGGCTGGCTGAGGCGGTGCGGCCCTACGCCGATGATCTGCTGGTCAACGAAGCAGCCGTTTCAGCTGACGAGGTGGCCCAGCATTTTGCCCGTTTCGGACTCGAGTGTAAGCCGCCGGAGCGAGTTGCGAGCGGCGCACGCATGCTGGGCCTCCGTGTCGCCGAAAGTGACGGGCCGGCGCTCCAGTGGACCAGGGACGGAGGGTCACCCACGCAGCCTCCACCTGTGCTGACGCGACGAACTGTCTTCGCGTGGGCCGGCCAACTGACATCTCACGTGCCGGTCGCGGGCTGGCTACGGCCGGCCGCTGCGTGGATGAAGCGGACAGCCAACCGTCTCAGCCCGGACTGGGACACTCCGATCGTCAATGAGGAACTGCAACGCCAAGTGGATGAAGTGTCGCGAAGGGTGATAGCCTGTGACCCGGCATGCGGCCAGTGGTGTGTGACAGGGTCAAATGTCACCGTGTGGACTGACGCCAGCTCCATCGCTCGCGGCGTCGTCCTAGCCGACCCTGTCACAGACGCCATCATCGAGGATGCGTCCTGGCTACGGGCCGAAGCTGAGCGGGACGTTCACATCAACATCTCGGAGTTGGACGCCGCTCTCAACGGCGTCAATATGGCCCTGGCATGGGGCTTCCGTCGCCTGACGCTCCGGACGGACTCGGTGACTGTGCACCGCTGGCTGAGCGATGCGCTGTCGGGCAAGGCAAGGCTGCGCACCAAGGGGCAGTCCGAAATGCTTATCCGACGGCGCGTGGCTGTTTTCCGTCAGCTGGTCGCCGAGTACGAACTTGAGGTCACCATCGAACTGGTCGGCTCAGCTGCCAACCGCGCCGATGAGATGACGCGGGTGCCCAACGCCTGGCTACAGGCCGCCGATCGGCCGGCCGCCGACTCGCCCGACAAGTCACCACCGGCTGCTGTCGCAGCCATCACATCGAGTGCCTCGCCGGGCGACATCCGCGCCATACACGAGAACATTGGCCACCAGGGCGTGAGGAGGACGTTGTGGTACGCCCGACGGGAGCTGGGGGTGAGGCGCGTCACGAAGACGGCCGTGCGGGACGTGGTCAGGCGGTGTCAGACGTGCGCGTCGATTGACCCGGCTCCGGAACGCTGGCTTGGTGGGTCACTTGAGACGGAACGTACGTGGGATCGCCTGGCCATGGACGTCACCCACCTGCACGGCCACCCGTACCTGACGTTGGTGGACTGCGGGCCGTCGCGATACGCCATCTGGCGCCGGCTGCGCCGGTCGGGGGCTCTGGAGATCGTCCAGCATCTCGAGGACGTGTTTCTAGAGCGTGGAGCCCCGGCCGAAATACTCACGGACAATGCGACGGAGTTCCGCGGCCGGGCTATGATGGCGCTCGCGGCCCGCTGGGACGTAGCGATGCGATTCCGCGCCGCCTATGAGCCCGGCGGTAACGGCGTTGTAGAACGCCATCACCGGACCATCAAAGTGATGGTGGCCCGGCAGGCCTGCTCCGTCGCTGAGGCAGTCCACCGCTACAACGTGACACCTAAAGATGGCAGCGACCCGGCAACAGCTCCGATCAACGAGGTGTTCCGACACCCTGGCCGCGACGTTGACGTGACGCCCCGCGGACGAACAAATGGACAACAGTGCGACGCCCTGCCGCTGAAAACACCAGGTGTGTACCAGGTGGGGGACAAAGTGTGGGTCCGGCGGCGGGGCGACCGATGTTTTGTGAAATCGGACGAGGGAACTGTGACAGGCGTCGTGTCGGCTCAAACAGTCGAAGTCGACAATGTGCCGCGTCATGTGCGCAATCTCCGCCACCGTTTGACCATGACTGATGCCCCGAGACCGGTGACTGTGCACGCCCCGACGGCGGAGCGGTGCGAGGACAGTGACAATGAATGTGATGGCATGTATATGGCAACACCTCCGACTGATGTAACGGAGACACACACGCGGCCGCCGACCGTCGATCAGACCGCGAGGGTCGATCCACCGACCCAGTCTGAGGTGTCTACGGAATGGAGCGAGCCAATAGACGGCGAATTGTCCGAGGGAGAATCACCCGCGACCGTTACATTGCGACGCAGCGTACGTGAGCGACGGGAACCAGACAGATATGGTATTGTTGTGACGGGGGATGTACTTGATGAGTTGAGTGAATGACATGATGTGTGATGTGGTTCTTTAGAACCAGGGGGTGATGTAGCATGATGGACACAATAAGGAATGTGAGTAGCGTATGAGTCAGGCGCGCGGCGAGACTGAGCTGCGGGACGTGACCCGGTGACCCAGTGTGAGTCATCCGCCGCCGCCGCCGGACGTCGGGGCGGCCGGGTTACGCCCCCTGATCAGTTGCACTGGGGATGACGTATGACAATGTGATTGGCTAATGATGATGCGCGATGACGTGTGCGTGAGAGCTATGGTCTGGTTGGGAGTGTGATTGCTGGGCAGTTGGCTGAGAGGCTCGGAGGAGAGCGGAATATAGTTTTCTTGGTTACGTGGAAGCAGGAGTTCTAAATCGCTTCACTTGGGTCGGCACCTCCTGCGGCAGCCACTGACTCACAGTCGGCCGGTGACTGACGGCTGACTGACTGCCGGCGAAATGACCGGGTGACTGACCCGGTGAAACATCTGCCGGTGTGACCGGGCCGCGGAGAAAGTGGTTCGACCCGGGCCGGGCCGACGGCTCCCTCACAGAGCTGGTGGTGCCGATGGCGCCTCATCCACCGCCTCCGCCCCCTGGCCCGGCTTCGGGGCCGCCGCTCGGCTGCAAACGGCCAAAGCAAACCACGGCAAATCCAAACAAACCGTATCCCGGCGAACCGAACCGATCCAGATCCAAACACGTCCGACCGAATCGAACTGAACGGACGCCGAGGTCGGGCTCTGAGGGCCGCTGTTTTCGTGTGGAAGGGGTTAAAATAGAGCTCGCTGCAGCTGTTGTGATGCATTCCGTCTTTCGGTGGCTTATGGATTAGTACGGCATGTTGTGCGGATTCCGGGAGGCCTCTTTTTCGGCGCTAACAAGACAGCTGTAAGTACTTAGCACATCAGCTGTTCAAGCCCCGGAGCTGATCCGATTTCTTTGTGTGACCACATCCGCGTGCCTTCTTCCCTGCTGACAACAATTCCCGGACGGCTGCCACCGTCGGCTAACGACCAGTCCAGTTGGCGGGGTGGCTTCGCGTGCCGCCGGCCGGGCCGCTCGTGCTAGGTCATTTCCGGTCCGGTACTGACCCGCGGCTGCCCCGCCGGCGGCCGCGTGACGTCACGGGTCACAGGTCACGCGAAAGTGGCTGCTGCGCCGGGCCGGATCCCAGCGGCAGACATTTCGCTTTGAGACTGTACAGTCTGTCTTAAAAGTACCGCGCAAAGTGACGGTGGATCCATCGAGCCTGAGTGAGCAAGGGCCTGCTAAATTTGGGTCACCGAAGCAATTGGCATCCTGTCCATTCCCTAGGTCAATTGGTCGGTGACTTTTGAATTAAAACAGGCCCTTTCTCGGTCAGGCTTGATGGATCCACCGTCACTTTGCGCGGTACTTTTAAGACAGACTGTACAGTAACCTCAGCAGGTGCTCATTGAAAACGGGATCAAGGTGTGTCATTACTTTATTTCATTGTAACGGTGTGTCGTGTAATTTTCTCAACTGTAATGGATTTATTCCGAGTAATCCAGCTGGGTGCCATTCACAGTAATGGTATTGTGTGACTTTCTGCGAAGCGGGAAGTGCCACCGTCTTGACAATGCAAGCTCCGTGCTGACTTGTATGATGAAAGCTGCTTAGAATAACGTGGCGATCTTTGAGATCAGCTGCAGTTCTTCAATGTGATTCCTGTACTCTACCTGATCTTTACCAGTCTTGACAGTACTTCTTTCACCGGAATGGTTGGCAGATAGATGGACGAATTTAGTGATGACATGTATATGTAGTTATGGTAATCACACCATTTTTTACGTCTGTCATCAGGGATTTAATCTTTTTCTTTATAAAGCAACGGTATTCATGAAACGTGTTGAATCATCTGTTTTACCTGTCGTATCGTGCTCTTACTTGTCTGCTCTTATTTAACCTGTTTGCCTCTCCTGGGCTGTTTGTCATGTTGTTTGTCGGAGCTGCTATCGGGCTATCGGCCACATTCTCACCATTCCGCGCCGGAGCCAAGCTCGCAACCGCTCCCCCTGAGCGTGATAGCGTATCGAAACATGCTTCTAAGTGGCCCTCGAGTATATACAGTTCCACTTTCTCAATGAATTATCTGTGGTTTCCCGTGCCAACTATGCCATCTCGACAGTATCTGATTATCTGTATCCTAGATGATTTTGTTTTACATCTTTAGTATCTTTCTAATCTAATCTGCAGTGAAGTTGAGGTGCACTCTGTAGTTGAACTGGTCTGACGTCACGTGACCTGACCTGCTCTGCCCTGCCCTGACCTAACCTACCCTGACCTGACCTGACCTGATCTGTGCGGCAGGTGAGCTCCAGCTGCGACAGCGTGTGGCAGGACCCGGCGATGCGCCACATGTGCGCCCACCCCGAGTACCTGGCCGTCTTCGCGCGCACGCAAAACTTCATCATGCGCGGCGACGGTCCTCTGCCGTTCGACATACGGCACTACATCGCCATCATGGTGAGTGGCGGCGTGCGGTATACCCGGGTTCGAATCCTGTCAGCGGTAATCAGTTCTATATTTGCCTTCAGAAATGAGTGATAATCAACGATGCTAATAAGATAGCTGCTGAATTACAAACGTTAAAGCCAACGCAACAATCATCGCTTTCTGGCGAATGTGGGTCTCGAGCTTCACGAAGCATGCTTCAGTTTGATCGCATAATTTGTCTATTATATAAAGATCGGGGGAAGTGAATCCATTTGTTTGCTAGGAATCGAGCATGTTTGTTGATGGATTTGCGGTGTTTGTCTAAATGTTTATCTGGCTGCTCTGATGCCCACTGTGACTAAGCCTCCGGTCACCTTGTCAGATTCCGAGCCAGGTGTTGTGTTGACCGCGGCTGCGGTCGGCAGTTGGCCGGTATTCCGACATTCCCTCCCCCTGTGGGAGCCCCTGCCTGCCCCACTCCCCGGCTCCCCCAGTTCACAGAACGGGCCCGGTTCGGGGAACCGCTGGCCGCCTTCCCAGAGCGGCGGCCTGGCCGGGGGCGGGGCGGGGCGCACCTGGGAGAGGGCCAGGTGGCCAGACTTGTTTTTGGTGCCGGTCACGTCGCACAGGACCCATCAGATAGACCCGACGAGCGCGGTCTAATTATGATTGAAGTCGACGACTGGTCTACCCGGCTATCTGTGGCACATCCACTCGGCTTTTTGCTCGGGGATCATTTGTTACAGCCGACACAAAGGCGTAGAGCTGGTAATAACCCCACGCCTAGGGTGGCTCTCATTACCCGACGCCCGTGTCAAGGGTCGGCGCCGGCGTCCCTTCCCGTGGCAACAGCCGGAGTCGGCGGACCGGGCGGCGGGCGCTCCGTCAGCGGCGGCACCTGAGCCGGTGTCGGCCGCGCCGCGCCGGGCTGGCCTCCGCTCAGTCTCCGCCCGTCTACAGTCCGGGGTCACAGTCTGCTGGGACGCCGCTGACACCAGACACCGCCCGATGAGCGGCACGGGCTGTCCGGCAACAGGTCAGTGTAGCGATTTAGAACTCCTGCTTCCACGTAACCAAGAAAGCTATATTCCGCTCTCCTCCGAGCCTCTCAGCCAACTGCCCAGCAATCACACTCCCAACCAGACCATAGCTCTCACGCACACGTCATCGCGCATCATCATTAGCCAATCACATTGTCATACGTCATCCCCTGTGCAACTGATCAGGGGGCGTAACCCGGCCGCCCCGACGTCCGGCGGCGGCGGCGGATGACTCACACTGGGTCACCGGGTCACGTCCCGCAGCTCAGTCTCGCCGCGCGCCTGACTCATACGCTACTCACATTCCCTATTGTGTCCATCATGCTACATCACACATCATGTCATTCACTCAACTCATGACCGCTGACTACACCTCCACCTGATTATCAGTAATCATCATCATTATTCATCATCAACATCGATACACTCGCTTGGCACACTCTGTCCATACAGCTCTTCCGGGGCTCTTCTCACACGTGTACTACGCCGCAGTACGGTTTGGCCATTCTGTTCTCGTTGGGCTTCCGTAACCTCACTCTGAGCGTCCTCCCGTGCACCGCTGAACGTCTCACTCGGAACGTCAGCTGCATCTTCACTCGTCTCCACCGGTGCTCCCGTATCGGGCGGCTCGGGAGGCGGGGGGTCAGTGTCCTGTCCCGTCCCCGACACCGAACCGGACGGCTTCTCGTGCAGCCGCAGCGTCCTGATCTCTGATAGGCAGTCTTCAGGTTCGGACTCACAGTCACTCATACTGTCTGTGTCGCCAACCTCCTCGAACCGTCGTCGGACGCAGCGCACATGCCACGGGGCACCATCCACCTCCACCAGTGGTGCCGGTAACAGTCGGGTCACCACGCCCCGCCGCGACACGTCCGTGCACCGCGTCGGCTGACCTCGGCGGCGTATCCACACAGCGTCACCGACCCGGAACGCTTTGCGTGCACTCTGGACGCCATCGTCCACTTTGGACACCGCTCGGCCGGGTTCGTCGATGTTCAGCGGGAGGTCGTGGCCAGCGCGCTGGAAGACACCTGCTGCAGGAGCGCTGCTAGGATGCATCCCGTCACGAGGCGTGGCGTTATAGCGGTGCACTGCTTCCCCGATTGTACAGCCTTGTCGGGCTGCCATCACCTTGACTGTCCGATGGTGGCGCTCGACGATGCCGTTGCCGCCCGCCTCGTGCACCGCCCGGAAGCGCAGCCGGACGCCCCACCGCGCGGCGAATGCCGCCATCCGACGACTGCGGAACTCCGTGGCGTTGTCCAGCAGAAGCTCTGCGGGCGCGCCTCTTTCCAGGAAGATGTTTTCCAGCTGGTTCGTCACCTCAGCCGCATCTGACCGGCGCAGTAGTCGCCAAATTCCATACCGGGATGGTCCACAATCAATAACAGTCAGATAGGACCGTTCCCGGTAGTGCGTAACGTCGATCGCCAGCCGTTCCCACGTCAGCGGCACACTCAGTGACCCTTGCTGCCAACGTACCGGTGCTGGGTCAATGGACTGGCACACATCACACTGTTGGATCACGGCGCGCACTGCCGACCGGGTGGCACGGGCGTCTTCATTCCGCCGCACGTACCAGAGGGTCCGACGGACTCCCTGATGTCCAGTACTTTCGTGCACTGCGCGTATCCGTGCGGGGTCGACATCCGGCCGTGGGTCCGCGATTGCCGCGGCAGCCACCGGCCGTGCGGCAGGCTCTGGGTCCGGTGTTTGGAGCCACTCCTTTGGCACACGGGTCAGTGCATCCGCCAGGTTGTCTGCGGACTTCACCAGGACGACTGTCAGCCTCAGGTTGAACTCCTCCACCAGCTGACGGATGACGTCGATCCTCCGGCGGATGAGCATTTCCCCGTGTGCCTTCGTCCGCAGGCGCGAGCGGCCGGTCAGGGCGTCATCGATCCATTTGTGGACCGTAGCCGAGTCCGTGCAGAGATCGATGATGGTGATGCCCCAGGCGATTGCCATGTTCACGCCGCTGAGCGCCGCGTCCAGTTCAGCCATGTTTATGTGCATCGCCGCCTTCGACTCAGGCCGCAGCCAGCTCGCATCCTCCACGACGCCACCCTCGGGGTCCTCCAGGACGACGCCGGCCGCGATAGAGCTAGCGTCCGTCCAGACCACCAACTTGCCCCCCTTCAGCCGCCATGGGCCTCGAGCCGGGTCACTGTCGTTCAGTCGGGTCACGACATGATCGACCTGCCCGCGCAGCCCCACGTCCTCTGTTGGGTCGTCCCATCCTGCTGTTAGAGCATTGACGCGCCGTTTGAGCCACGCGGCCGCTGGTCGCAGCCATCCCACCACTGGCAGATGGGACACCAGCTGACCACACCAAGCAAACACAGCCCGACGCGTCAGCACTTCCGGGGGCGCCGGCACTGGGTTGTCACGACGCCAGCACAGCTCTCCAGCGACCGCACTCACCCGCAGTCCGAGCAGCCGTGCTCCCTCCGCCGCCCGCTCCGGCGGCTTGCAGTCCAGGCCGTACCGGGCGAAGTGCTCCACCACGTGGTCCGCGCTGACGATTTCTTCGTCCACCAGGAGATCGTCCACATAGGGCAGCACTCCTCGGGCCACCACTTCATCCTGGAGCAGGACGGCTCTTACCACGGCCTTCATGACAGCCGGTGCGATGCTCAGGCCGAATCCGATGCGAGTCAGGCAGTATCTCTGACCTCGCACCTCCACCGTCTGGTACGGTCGCAGCCGCCGATCCAACCGGAGCTGAAGGTACGCCTTCCGCAAGTCCACTACAGCAATGCGAGCGCCATGCCGCCGCCAGCGACGAAGCTGATCGGCGCAAACGTCCGCATCTGCAGTGTGTGCGATTATGTGACCATTCAGCTCACGGTAGTCCAGGACAGGCCTCACCTTGTCCTGATTTGGCTGCGGGACCGCCATCAGAGGGATTAAACCTCGGACTGGGCCATCCACCCGCTCGTCGTACGGCTGCAGCCATCCTTCCCGGATCCACAGCTCCAGCTCGGCGTCATATGCTGATCGAGCTTCCGGCGGCACGGCATACTGGGCGACCTGGTTCTGCAGATACTCCGGGCCTTCCCCGTCTGCCCACTTCCATGCCACCGTCCACTCTCCAGTTCGTGCCTCGAACCGGGCCGAGAAGTCTGCTGCATCCAGCGCCAGCCCCTGGGGGTCGACCTCAGCCGCCGCCGCCGCACAGATCCGCACGTCTGTCGGCGTCCTCAGGCTGATGCCACCTAGGGCCGTGATGCCCGACATGCCCAGCACCATGTCCACTCCCAATGGACGATCAGGCACGACAAAGGCTGCGAGCGTCACTCGTTTGCCTTGGCACTCCATGGTGACTTTGGCCGTCCCACTACACCGCAACGACCCACCGTTCACAGTCCTCATCATCACCGTCCGCGGTGTCCACTGCTCACAACAATCCTTGTGCACGAGCGTGTCTGTGCAACCAGTGTCCACTAATACACGCCGCTCACGACCGTCTACCTTGCTCTGGATCACAGGGAGGACGCGATCTATTGCTCCGGGGACAGTGCTCGCGCTGACACGTCCCCCGAGGCGTTTGGGCAGGCCGCGGCGAGATGACCCTCAGTCCCACACGTCCAGCAGCGTCTGGGACGAGGTGGGCGCTTCGGTCGCTGCCGCCGCTGCAGATCATTGTGAACCGCCGCCACAGCTTGCGTCTGGTCATTACCAAGCACCGCCCGCGCGCGGGCGACTGTGCTCTCCAGACTGAGTTGCTCTGACCTGGTTCCTGCTCGGATTGTGTCCGCCACGGACGCCGGCAGACCGTTGACGAAGGCAGCTACCAGCTGTCGGTCCGTCACGCCGCCGAACAGGGCAGCATAGCGGCGCAGACTCGCCAGGAAGACATCAGCGCTCTCTCCCGGCTCTAGCCGACGTGCGACGAATGCTGTGTGAGCCGCGAAGTCGTCCATGGCGAACGCCTTAAACAAGGCGTCTCGTGTCGCCGTTGCTGACCGGCGGTCCACCGCGGACAGC